CCTCTATGGGTTATTTACGATGGATTCCAGCCAAGTAAGGTAAAATCCTGTTTAAAAACATAATAGTCTGTTGAAAATTAAGAACTAAATAAGTCTGGTACAACTGAGGTAGTTATTGTACTTATTTCCAGATATGGTAATCATGTAAAAATAACCAAATAGGACACTGGGTTCTTCAGTCAAGTGTATTTTCTTTGTGTATGAGTTTTGCATCAAGCTGGATACGTACCATTCACAGCAAGTGCTCTTACCACTGCACCTGCAGTGATTCCTGTTCTGTCTGTACGGAGAAACAGGAAGGACAAATTCTAATGTCACGGGTACTGCAATGGTGTCATTCGAGTCAAGGCTAATGGACGAAAGAAGTCAGACATACTCCCTCTTTACCTCCATCTTGCCTGTAACTTCCAGAGTGTAGCACAGTTGGTAAACTTCCGCTTACTTTTGTCTATGCCTTTGTTTTCGCTCGGTGTTAATAGTGGTAAACTTTGAGTCTGACAAAATTCTTAACTATGTCAGTGTAAACTGCAGCCAGGAGGTTCGGCTTCAGGGAGGTTACAGCCCAACCACACGAGATGAACCTAGCTTTCAAGTTGCCCACTGTTGTGATTTTACCCTAAGAGGGATTTACATCAATTTAGAAATAGTGTTGAGGGTGCTCAAGTTAAGTGCTGACTGTATTTTTAGGAGCTGTTTCAGAGTACGCACCCTTATTACAAAGTTTTCCATTAGGTGTCATCAGACTCAACAGTATCAGTGCTCTTAGAATTGCAACTGTTCTTCCAAGCAGTTTGGATGTTTAGACCGTAAGTATACTCGGAGTTAGATTTCATGGGAAGTGGTGTTTCTTGGGCTTTGAGTAGGACTATTTTATGTTTCTTTATGGAATTGTCTTTATCTTCTGTTTCACAGTGAATTAGTATATTCTGCAGTGCTGTAATTAAGGCTTTTCTAGGCTTGCTTTTGTACAGCAAAACAACTCCCCAGAGACTTTACAACTTCAAACCGCATTAAATGCAATTAAACACAATTAAAAAATCAGCCAGGAAACTAAGCTGTCTTTAGCATGTTGTTCTCTGTATGAGGGTTATAATGTCCATCCAATGCAATGGGTGTAATGTGAAGTAGAGGATCAGCCTGTTCTTAGAGGACAGGAACTGGGACTGTTGAACTGGGAATCTTGTATTCTTCACATGTACAATGGCACAGTTTCAACAAGAGGGGAATGAGGGTTCATAATCTACTGTTATCAGGGTATAGCTTAGTGGTTTAGGCATTCCTTGCAGAAGAGAAAGATGTGGCATTGACAGTCCCCAAGAGAAAGAACAGAATTCCTAAGAATTTCATTCTTTCGAACTGTGAGCTATTACGTGCTTGTATAGGTGTCATATGCTTCTCCCAGGAAGACTTGGAGATATGACTCCTGCTTAGCTCTTTTAACAGGGAGGCACAGTTATCTTGCTTGCAGAAGATTGCAGGGTATAAATCACAAGAGTGCAGAGGTAGACTAGCTTTTATGTTTTCCTCTTCGAAGTTTTTGCCCTTGGCTGCTGTTGAGTAGCTGCAGACAGAACATGCAGATTTTAGTTTGCTCCCCATGAAGGCTGCTTGTGTTGGGTCCCATCCTGAGGTGTCTCAGCGTCACGTCGTGCTACACAGAGTGCCAAGGTCCCCATCAGGGGCTCGGGACTCTATCCCAGAAGAAAGAGCCTGAAAGTTAGGTGACCCACCATATCAGCCCTAGGTGCCTACAAGGGGTAGGCAGTATTTACATATTTATGATAGGTAACATTAGGCAGTGTTCACTTCAAAATACTGACAGAGGGTGGGTTAATGCAGAAGCCCTAGCCGTGTGCTCTGTGGCAGCCCCACATCTGTAGTTTGGATGTGTTAATTCTGGGCAGAAGGTCCTCTGTGCCTTTGATGGTGTGAATCTGTGCAGACCCTCTGGTTGGTTGTGGCACTATACTGTCCTATCAGTGCATTGCTGTGACCAACTTAGTAAGACCTTCTGTGAGATGTGAATTCAAGAACAGAGCTTAACTCAAGCTGGTTATGACTGGCCTGATAAAATGTAGATGTTTTCTGTATCACCTTGTGTACTTAGGCGATTCTAAAGGCCGGTGGCAAGAGATGCTTCTCCTTGCCATATTTGCTTCCTTAGCCTGGAAAAGAGGTTAGTGAGGGTTAGACGGAAACCCCCTACCTAGAGCAGACAAGAGCCATTGATTAGCAGGTAGACAGACTGCACAACCTACATGTTCTTATTCTTGCCATATTCTGGGACTATGAGATTATTTATCTAGTGTTTCTGCAGTCATTTAAAGAAAACTGCTAGGTAAACATCTATAGCAGTTTTAAAATACATCATTTGATTTTGAGCACTGCAGCTACCGCAGTATGCAAATGCAATGTTCAGCAGCCGTTGGGAAGAAACGGAGTTGTGTGTGTTATTCTGACCAAATCTAGACACAGGAAACCTAGTGGCAATTAGGAATTTAAATACAGTGCCAGGGCATTATGGCAATGTCGTAATTGCCGCATTGCCCCAGATTCAGTATTATTCAGTGTAATACTACTTCATGTGAAACAGGTTTCATCGTATTAACATCTGTTATTAGGAATCAGTGAATGTTGGGAAGTGTTGATTTACCATACTGTCAAAATTTGTAAATTTGACAGAATTTATTATACTGTCAAAAAACATTTTTCGTCTGTCTCGTGTACCGCAAAATTTGAACTTACTGACTGATCAAATCAATTTTGCAGAAGCATGTTTTCCTCAGTGATGTCCCTTCACCCCTCAGGCACGGGGAGCTGCCGTGAGCCCCTCTCTAGCAGCTGCAGGCAGAAATTGATTATTTTCTTCTTTTTCCACTGAGGTCCAGTACAGTTTAAGCAGAGAATCAGCAGAGAAGGAATAAGCAAATGCAGGAGTGTACGTTGCCATAAAGCAGACATTGCTTGCAATGCCATCCATGGGTTTTGTGCAGCAATAATTCGAGGGTTATCAGAACAGTGTCACGTCCAGGAGCTAGTTTGTCTTGCTTGTAACATGTACAAGTGCCTGCCTCTGCTCCGTACTTGGAATCTGCCTTGATACAAGTGGCTCTTTTTATATATATATTAAAAAATATATAAATATATGTATATATGTATAAGTAT